GGCACCAGCATAAACCTGGCATCATGCACATTTGGGTGCCAGTTTTTGCAGATACAGTTTGAAGATGTGGAAAATAGTTCTAGCTTTAATCCACATTCCAGCCCTTGCATAAGTTCATTAGATCTGGATAGATAACAAAAGAATAAGGTTATGGATAGAAGTGTCCAAAATGAGTTTAGGATGGGTGGGGTCCTTATTCTTAGAAATAGAATAAGTAAGAGAATAGTTTGAAGGTCATTTTACTTCATAGGCCACATAGAGCCCAATTTGATTTCACGTGGGCTGGACCACTACAAGTTACATAACCTGTGAGATAAATAAACCATAAAAAAATATCTCCAAATGTTTCCATTTCCTTTAGTCTTAAAATTATGGACAGTTCATTCACACAACATATGATAAACAAGCTAAGCTTTCTTAAGAAAAAAAAAAAGTACAATTTCCACATTCATTACATGTACATGTTAGAGGATCTGCAAAGGTATTTGAGGTATTATGACTCAAACGTGACAAGGTTTAGAAATAAACTGTCCATTTTTTGTATCTCTGTTTCAAACCTTGCATTTCATCATTTTAAAAATATAATTTGGAAGTTATTATTAACTTCTCTGCATTCTCTGTGTATTATGTATTTGTGTTTTATGCTATTAAGCCATCCCACCTTCTGTTTTAATTTAACATCCCCTTTTCTTGTACTCTGTGATTTAATTCAGCTGTGTCTTTCTCCCCAGCTGTCTCTACCTTTCCAAATTGCCTGCCTGTGTATATACAGTCAGAGTGTCTGCTCACATTTCTCTACCTGCTTTCCAGCCTTAGTGTGTTTTTAGATTTAAGGTTTTAGCAGGTTAGTTTTCACTTTTCCTTTTGTTTTACCTAATGCTGCATCTTTTGGATTTAAAGCAACTTAATAAATGGCTTGCTTTAAGTTTCCCTTTGCCTACTTGAGACTTTACATTTAGGCCCTCATCTCTGCAACATTTGACAATAACAGGTGAAACCAACACTGATAAGCACTCCTCACAAGGCTGTTCCCATAAATCTTGCCATATAAACGGTATTTTAGCTGATTTGTGGGCTACAAGGAAGCATATGGATTCATTAAAAGTTATTATCACTGTTTTCCATTGCTCCTCCTGATCCTCTCTCACAGGATTTGTCTGCGGAGATGCTCCTAGATGGTAGACTCAGCTGCCTCAAGGAGTTTATATTGTGAATCGACCTCCATAATGACAGGGTTCACAGATCCAGATGTATGAAAGACTTCAGAGTGATTACAGGGTGCAATGAGGCTTAGTGGGCCATTCAGATGTAGTCCTATACAGCTTAGTCACTACCTGCTGACAAAAGACAGACTTCACCCTAAAGGCTTGAAATACACAAAAGACACTCTGCTGTAAGTCTAGTGTGTACACAGTAGTGGTTTATAATAGTTTATCTACCATGGATGATATGCTGCAGTTTTACTTTAAGTCTGCATTATTTTCACCTGGACTATTTTTTAACATTATTTTTATCTGAGCAAGGTCACTACAGTTAACTAAAACTAAATGAACAACTATAGGAGTAAAACATGTTAAAAACCTGATTTAGTTTAATTAATAAATTTATTTATTTTTCATAACCAAAGATGTTTTGTTTACTTAGAATACTAAATAAAAGTAATCCAAACATACATAATGATTTTAGTTTAGTTTTTGACAGTTTGGACAAGTTTGTCATTGAAGTCAGCCTCAGTTTGCTTTAGCACTTGTTTATTGGGCGTTTACAAGACTATAAAAAGACAGTTGGCCTCACAAAGTGTTGTGTTTGTATTGTGGCTCTTTACAACACATCTGTCTAGCAGAGAGCCAGCTGTTCTCTCTTATGCTAGCAGTATATTTCATGGTATAATACTTCTGCCGTGCCTTTTCTTTTAAATGACTTTAGTAAGCATTTTTTTTTTCTGTTTTATTTTGCTTCATTGCAGGGGTGCCCAACTCCAGGCCTTATGTGCCGGTGTCTTGGAGGTTTAAATGGCTAAATTACCTCCTCAACACGTCTTGAAGTTCTCCAGAGGCCTAGTAATGAACTAATCATTTGATTCAGGTGTGTTGACCCAGGGTGAGATCTAAAACCTGCAGCACACTGGCACTTGAGGCCTGAAGTTGGAAACCCCTGCTTTATTGAATTTACTGAGCTATTTTTAAACTTTTTTTTCCATCTTCAAAAATAGTTCAAATTAAATTCAAATTAAATTAAAATGTTATTTCTTGTCACATTATTTCAATGTATTAAGATTTTAACTTAATTTGATTTTTAACATTTGAGTTGTTTGAGTTATTTTCTTTATTTATTATAATTATTATATTTTTATTATTTCTTATTGAACTCACTTGTTCTGGCTTATCATGTTTTATTTTGTTATAGGATTTCACTTAAGTTATTTTATAGGGTATGTAATGACTTGGTGGTTTTTATCACAGAAAATTCTCAAATTTGGGATATATGAAGTACAAGCATACTTCATATACCCCAAATTTGTGTGCTATATCCTCTCAATGCAGATCTGATAATGTCAGATTCTGAACTTCCCCCACCATTACAAAACAACAACAACAACAACAAGAAAAATGACTTACAAATAAAATAACAAAAACTAAAGTAATGAAAAAGGAAAGGAGAAAACAACATACAAAAAATATAAATAAACAATATGTAATTGTGAGGCATGTTAAGAAACAAAACAAACAAATAAAACTCTATAATAGTGAGCATTAAAAAAAATCTACAAAAAACAGCAAACACAAAACAACCACATCTAAAATTAAACAAAACAAATATAAAATCTCAGAAATCTGGAGGAAGGTTTAAAAAATCCAAATAAAAATAAAGAAATACATAATAATAAAACAAGTTCTACTTGGCTTATTGATAAATTTCAGTTAGCAATAACGGAAAGAAAAACGGTTATTCACGTGATTCCAGCTGAAAATCTTGCGATATATTTTTTGCAATTACCGTTACGAATAAAAGACTTCAAACAAATGTTGTCTACAAAATAATAAAACGGAGCAATACTCACCAATGACTCTCTTATTTTTGAAATTCCCGCAATATTTCGTTGAACTCGGGAGGTCATCTTTGTTTCTTTTGTCCAGATTTACAAGAAAATCAGTCAGTAGGTCAAAAGAGGCCTCCCCGAATTTTACACCTGCTGTGTTACTTTTACTTGGAGACAAAAATAATCTTTTCGCCATTTTAACTTCAGTAACTTACTCTGAGCACGACAGACAGCTACATTTATGTGACAGACTACGCTTAAGTTGTATTTACTTTTTCAAAACTAGACATCCATAAATAAATAACCTGCGTCTTATATTTTCCAAAAGATGGCGCTATCCCCGCATATTTCCCCCGTAGGACCGTCTTCTAACAGGAACCAAAAACTACCTCTGCGACTCATTTGTAAGTTGCACACGTTGTTTCCTTGGCGGGTCCTCTCAGCGCAGATCTGATAACACCCGGATAGGACACACGCAGCGCGCTTTGACAGAGCAGAGTGTTTAGAATGCAGCGGCGCGTGTAACAGTCGTGAAAGCGCCGTGCTAACCTCACGAAGTGCAGATATGGCCGACAAAACGCCGCCTCAGAAATCCAACAATCCATACGCAACCAGGATAGACCCAACCAAAGAGGGTCTTTCTCAAGATCAAATGCATTTTATCAGACAGGTGGAACTGGAACAGTGGAAGAAGAGAACGTCGAAGCTGCGGACACGAAACGTGGTGACGGGACTCGCTATCGGTGCGCTCGTGTTGGGAATTTGTATCCTTGTCAAACGTCAACGCAAGGTGAACTATGTAACGTTAGCGTAGCATGCTAACGTTAAGCTGTGTCCTCTGTTTAGGAGTTAGGTTAAGCGCGTTTACCAAGTATTAAGACAAACGCAAATGTATCGGCTTAGTCCAAATTTTAGACTTAAGTTAGAGTAATAGCTGTCAGTTTCATTGAATGCTAACGTGACAGCTAGCTCAGGTAGGTGTAAAACGATTTGAGTGTACTGCCAAAGGTAAACATCAGTGTTGTTGCGTTTAAAAGAGAATTCAATAAGAGAGTTTCAGGGTTGGTAATTTAACTTTTTACACATGGCAGCGAAAACTGGCCTCTGGAGCACCTCGTTTGAAGGAATTTATTATTCTGTTGATCAATGAAATTCATTAACTGAAAGCAATGGTATTTCCTCTTGTGTTTTGGGATAAACGTGTTTCCTGAACGCATCACTGGCAGTTTGTAATGACAGATGTCAAAATCTGAAAATTTCATCCATTTCTGTAACAACTCTTATGGCAGTTAAGCGTGTCAGTAGTAGCCAGGTGCTGCTAATCAAATGTACTTGATAAGTTTGCAAAGTTGCTTCTGAACAAACCATATGACTTCTTGAACAATGTCCCTTGGACAGACGAGACCAAAGTGGATTGACAGTAATGAACAGCATATGAGTACAAACACCTTACTGTAAAGCGCAGTGGAGGTGTGATGACTTGTACTTATTTTGCAACCATAGGATCCGGACACCTTGCAGTTTGTTTGTTTGTCCAACAGGTAATTCTTCTTCAGAATTGGGTCATCCAATAGGACAATGATCCCAAGCAGAGCAGCAAGTTATCCTACCTAATCATGGGATGTACTTAGTTTTTTCGGTAAATTTGTTTTGTTTTCATGCTTTCAAATATTTCTCTTAACCACTTGCTTCCAAATTAGACGGCTACACATTTTACTCAGTCTCCCAGGAGCGGATCATGGATGAGATCGATGAGGAGGCCAAGCGTGCGAGAATGCAGGGACCAAAAACCGGTGCCAACTGAGATTTAAGTGTCACCTGCTTGTTGTTGGACTTTGTTTCTGTCCTGCACTTAACGAGGAGGAGGACTCATGATGCCACTGATCATACTCCATGGCTGCCTGGCTGCTGTGTTCTTTTTTTGTAATGTTGAGACAGCTGGACTTTGTCTTGATTTGAAGACAGTTGTGTGGCTGACTTAAAACTAAGTGTGGTGTAGTTTTGAAGAAGTTTCCTGTCAGTGGTAAGGACCAATCCGCTGACTTGATTATGACCTTAGAAGCTATACTGTAGCACGATCGGCACCCTTTACCTGATGTTTCCAGCAATGATTAAAATAAAGGGAATATAAAAAAATAACAGTCAGCTAATGACTTAAAAATCTACAGTGGCCTTCAACAATAGAGAATGCCAGTGACACTGCAAAAATAATGTTATTTATGCTAATAAAGTTTTGATTTATGAAATAAAAGCCTCATGTATTAGATTGTTTAACAGCTATGTCTCTGTATGACCATTTATTTAAGAAAGAGACACAGATAAAGCAGTAAAAATGACACAAGACACCGTAATACTTAGAATCGCATTTATTTTCATCAAAATTTAATATATGGAGTTGGATCTAGCCACCAAATCTCAAGAGCAAAATAAGACATTGTTAGGGAAAGGCACAGATTCAGCATGGCAGGACAGCAGCTTTAGGAAGCAATACAATTATATATTTACATTCAAATAAATCTGGACTAGAAACTTTATTTCCTTGAATATATTAAGATTCGGGAGTTTAGGTGGCAAGCAATTCAGTGTGTGATGGGAATATTTTAAGGCCACAGCTACAGATTCACAGCTTTGACTGATTCCTCTACACCCCACAAAAATAGACATTGTTTAAAACCGTGGGTGGGTAGATCATCACTTCTGTGATCAAACATGAAATGGGAGATTATCATCTACCTCTCTTATGGGGAAAAAAATGACAGGAAAACTCGTCAGCTCTCGCTTGAGTGAATGGTTTTACACACAACTGTGTTAAATGACTGAGAACTACAAGTGGACTTGCTAAAGTGCACAATGTGCTTGATCTCTGGAACAAGCGACAAATCAGACTTTTGTTTGAGAAAGGATTAAGGTAGCTGAAGTATTTAATTTGCTCCTAAATTGTAAACATGATCTATAAATGAATTCCGTTATATACACATGTACAGTTAACAGGAATTCAGTAGTATAAAGTATAGGTGGATTTTCTCACCATCTATTCCCCCCTCCTTTTTTTTTTTTAAAACCAGCTACCAGATTTTGAAAGTGATGCGTAACATTTTTACACTTGTGCACCATTTAACTGAACTTCTGCCCATGTGTTTAAAACTAAATTTGCCTTTTGCTGAAGAATCGTACAACATTTCTCACTGTTGGGACACGATATCTTACTACACAGCTGTACAATGGAGAAAAAAAAAAATCACCTTCACTACATCTGAAATTATCAGTGATTGCAGTCAAACGTCTTCAAGCTGAGTCTAGAGAAAACATAGGTGTCCAAATCACTAAAGGAAGCCAGATAAAGACTACAACAAATAACTGAATGAAGCCCCTGGAAGGCATTGATCACAGTTCTACCAAAAAAAAATGTTCACTGTGCAGCTGCTGAGACATCTTTACCAAACTACAGCGAGTGAGGTGTGTAATAGCTGTCAGTGTGTGTGTGTGTGTGTATGTCAGCCTCACTGTTCACATTTCTGTGCTCAGACTAGGTTAACAGCTATCAGACAAGCAGGAAAACAGCAACTGTTGTCGTTCTGCGTCAAAATCCTGGTAAAGTGCTGCAACTCGGCAGCTGCGGCACGGCATACCGCCGCTTGACTGCGTTCAGGCAAAAAGATAAAAATAATGTCGTGATGCGACACTGTGCAGAGCACTGCGGCAGCCTGGAATGAAGGTGGTTACGTCCGAACCGTTGGGATCTGACAGTTTATTTACAAAGAGCAGACACGAACGTGTCACTTGGCTGCTATTCTGTGCTTCAGCTGCAACAAGTTCACCAGGTCGAGATAATGGGCTGAAATCTGGAGGTTACACTTCCTGTGTAAATCCAGCTCCACTGGCGATGAGTTTCTATACATTTGAGGTAAGTGGCCATGGGCGGACAGGGAGCGGTTTGCAGATAGGTGTGCCAGGGTTAAAGCGATCCTCCTACGGGACAGGTTTGACCACTGCAGTCACACTTCAGATGAGGTAGTCCAGATAACGGCGTGCTTGGCTTGGAGTTTGTTACTAGAAAAGTGAAATATAAGAATATGATTTAGAACAATGCTTTTTTGTTGTGTATGGAGGACAATGGTTAAAGGGTGTCTCTAGAGTATAAACCTCTCCTGACATTTTTGCCTCCTCTACACATTCAGGTCAGAAAATGTAACTCAATCTGTTGGACCAAGTCTTTGAGGCTGTTTTTATAGGAGTTGAAACAGTTAGCAGTAACAGTTGGATGATAAAACACATTAGCTGACTTAATGGATGTAACAGTTTAAGCTAAACACTGCATATAAAAGATGCATGTGGCAATTGTGACATCACCCATTAGTAATTGAAGCCTCAAGCTAAGTGTTTTTGCAGTCATGACCTATTAGCAAGTGAAGGCTCTGTTTTGAAGATGGCTTTCAAAACCATCTGAGAAACCGATGGACGCTGCACACTGGTAGGCTAATGACTAATGGATGTAACTCAGGTTTATCCTCCATTCTGACTCTGGGTGGTATTATAATTTACAAAATGAACATCATATTGTACTGAATAAGACACAAAACTTGTAATTGAGTGTTTCATGATGTCAGACATCAAGGGAAGGCAACTGGAGGAGTTGCCCCCTGCTGGCCATTAAAAATAATGCAAGTTTAAGGCTCTTCAGTATTGGCCTTACTTTCCAGACCCAGAAGCTATGGCCATCTTTTGCATACAGACTATGTTTTAGATCCAGGGATTTAATGGAAAGATGCTTTTTAAGTTTAGTGACAAATATGAGGCCAATGAGTCAAGACAACGAGAATAACGATTACTCTTGGTGGTTCAGGCTTTGTTGGTTTAGACTTGGGACAATCTAATTTGGATCAACAATAATATTTTTTGCTTTCTTGTTTTCACATTAATAAACAACTGGAGGACCACGTTTACATTTCAGCTCACTCTCATGTTGAGGAGACATCAGAGGAAAAGAAGTTTTTTCTTAATTTGAATTTAACGGCGTTTTAAAAACGGCATTAAAATAAAGGCATGAATTAGTTTTTATGGCTACACCTGTGTGTTTATGTTATTTAATGTGCAAACAATCGCTAAATTTAACTTGTTTATACCTGCACCTTGTTTCATTTGTCATATAATAATAGCTTGTTAAGGAAGTGCTGACTCACCATTCTACTTAGGTCTGTGGCAAAAGTGACGCCTTTAAAAGGTTTGTCCTGCGAGCCACTGCTGCTGCCTCCAAGAGAGTTTCTCCTAATGATACCTTGGAAAGCAGTACATGACTTATAAAACTCATTCAGACTCGTGGCTGTTGCATATTTACATGATAATAACTCTAATAAAGAAGGGTATATTCTTTGTTACCTTGAAGCGGTAACATCTCCAGTCGCTGAAGGCTGTTCCTGCGAGACGAAGGAAAACCGTTTCCTTTGGAGAGGCGGCGCTGTCGGCTGGACAACATAGC